CTTTGCTAACCATTTGGCATTTTTATAACCAAACACTAATTTATTTCATTGGCGCGCTGAATTGGTATACAATGCCGGGTTTGTGTGGGAATTACATGGGGTTGTTGTTGATGTTGTGTTGGTGTGGTAGGTACATTTTTGGCCAGAGTTGATCATTTAAGCCTTTTTTCATCTATATATTTTTCATATTCAGCAATTTCACCAAAAATTCACCCTTGCCAAACAAGCTCCCATCCGTGTAACATGAGCATGATTATAGAATGATATGCTAAATCAAATACAAGTGAGGATTATGGGGAGAATAGAGAGGACACAACAATAAAAAGTAAGAGTAAAAAACAAATCCACCTACTGACCTACCTGTTAAGCTCTGTAGAGACTGCTCAAGTTCCCAGCAGGCCATGACAGCTTCCATAGCATGCACTCGGACATGCTGCTGCAGTTGTTCTTTAAAGGAAGAGAGCAACAGAACATAATGTGTCTACATCAGATGCAACAAAGAAGAAAGGAAGGGGAAAAGGTAAAGTTGATGTTTAATAGCATAAAAAAGAGAGATAAATCTAGTCGTTAACATGGAACAACACGAAAGAAATAGTTTCAGAGCACCCAAAAACACCAAGGAAAAAATGTGTGATCAGTAGAATGCCACAGAGACATTCATGTTCTACCCTTGTTTTAAAATGAGTTTAATTTCCTTCCCGTGGTAGATGCCAATTATGTGTGCCTAAGGTAAAATGCATATGCAATCACAAATCGAGAAATTTGCACTATTATAACCACAAAAAAAAATAATGATGTTTTGAAATCTGTCCACTTTTGGAAGACCTTAGAGAGCATAACATAACAAGGAAAAGACCAAATAACAAGTGGGGAGCATGCCATCAAGATATAGTTTTTTTATAGCACTCCATGGGTCAGCCTCACTAATTGGTCCTTGTTTATGATATATACTGGTAACAGATAGATATTCCAGCTAATAACAAACCTACATACAGCTTTTGCTCATTTAATGCTCCATTTTTGTAAATGAAAAAATAAGATAATTATCGTAACGATTCGTATTCTTGAATTGAATGACTTGCCAATCTCCGGGCCTTATCCCACCCCAAAACTTCATGGAAAGTTTTTGTTTGCTCAAAGAAACGAAAATAGCAAAGAGAAATCAAGACTACTGATCGAAAGCACACACCTTTGAAATATATATGCACAGGGGGGGGGGGGTTACATTTGGTTTGTTCTTTGGCGCACACTTGTATAATTATAGTAGTATAAAGAAACACATTGGAGAATTAATACAGCATAAGAACATTTTCTTTTCTAGGGCCTCTAACAACCTACTCAAGCTTTTGTCTGGGTTGGTCACAGTAATCAGAATGATTCAGTTCCAAGAAAACAGGAGACGTGAGCCGCCAGCAGCTGGTCGTACAGAGGGTGGTTCAGAACGTCGGCCTTGCACTTATCCCTCTCCCAGCTGCTGCTCATCTCTCCGTTGCAATTCTCCTCCCGGACGAGCTTCTTCTTGGTGGAGTCGTGGGGAGAGAGCCAGCGGTGGTCGTCGGAGGTCTGGAGGTGGAGGAAGTTGTTGGGGGAGCCGGCGGAGAAGTTGTGGCGGGGGCGGCGGAGGTGGGAGGCGTCGAGCCAGGTGGAGGGAGGTGGAGATTTCGGCGAGGGAGAGGGTTGCTGTTGAGGGTGAATATGATGATGATGGTCAGGAAGTACGGAGCGCAGAAAGGCGGCGTCGTCGTCTTGCTTTTGGAGAGCCATTTTATCTTCTTCTTCTTTCTTCCTCTAGTTGCAGTGGGGGATCCAAGAATTTGGTTGCAGTGGGGATCCAAGAATTTGGGTAGATGGGACACAAGCGCCCCGAATTTTTTTAAAAAATACTCCCTCCGTCCAAAAATTTTCTTCCCATTTTTCTTTTTAGTCCGTCCGGAAATATTCTTCACATTTCCTTTTTGAGTATGATTTTTAAGGCTAACTATCAATTATACCCTTCTATTTTATCACAAATCTACTTTTTTAATATTTTTTTAATAATAAAAAGATATTTAAAAGTTTATAGTAAGTGCATTTTTGAAAATTTTGCATTTTTTAAACTATTCCTTAATAAGCGTGCCAAGTCAACACGGGAAGAAAATTTCCGGACGGAGGGAGTGGACAATATAAAATGACAAAAAATAATAAACTTATTTTAAACATTAATTAAATGTAAAATATTGTTTTATAGGTAATATAAAATTTTATTACAAACAATAAAGTATACGGAGTATGCAATAAAATATACTTTACTTCAATAAAATTAATAAAAAAACTAAATACTAACTTAATTAGAAACATTTCCATTAATTTTGTTGGGAATACATAATTCTAGATGGGGTCAACCCCAATTTAGATGGGGGCATGCAGCCTAAAGTATATGAATTTTTTCAAAAAAAAAAAAAAAGAAATAGTTTAACACCAAATATTAGTAGGGGGCATTGGCCCCCAATTCTTTCTTACTAGATCCGCCCCTGTCTGGTTGTTACGTTGATGATGAGAGAGATGGTTCTGGTTCTAGTGGTCCTGAAACTCCATAGCTCTCTCTAGATAGATAAGATAGATAGATAGCTACTCAGTATAAGGGAGCCAGGCAGGCAGGCAAGAAAGAGGGCTAGTAGCTATATATACGTACAATAGATTAAACACTGTGGAGGCTGAGAAGAAAAAATACAGTACAAAGTCTTCGTATAAAGGACAAAGTTGTCATCATTTCATTTCATTTGGACTCATTCAACATTGGTGGAATGGTGGGTGCTCTCTTGGCTCAGGGGCAAGCGGCGACTTTTGTATTCCATCCCTTTCTCCAACGTCTTCCATTGTTTGTAAAAAGAAGGGTACTTGTCTAACCTATTAAATCTAGAGCATCGTAAACCTAATTCTAAAAATAAAATTACCTAATAAGCCTAACAATTATCATTTGTCAACTTTGCCTAATTGATTCAAGGAATTAAACCCTAGCACCTTGTAAAAGTAATTCAATAATCTTTTTTGGCCTAAAAAAACCCTGGCACCTTGTAAATTACTTTGCAAATCTTGCAAAAAATAAAAATAAAAAATAGGATTGAAGAAAACCTAGGGAATAGATACTTTGCAGAATTGAAACAACCGTGTTCCATCTTACACAACAATATTGCCTAATAATTGAAAAGAAACAATAGTTCATAGAAGAAAATCACATGGCATCCGAAAAAAAACGAGAAGACAAGATCAAAAGAAAAAGCAAGCAATTAAAAGGATTGAATATCAAAAGAATGAAAATCTTACTCAGCGGCGTTGGGTTGCNTTGTAAAAAGAAGGGTACTTGTCTAACCTATTAAATCTAGAGCATCGTAAACCTAATTCTAAAAATAAAATTACCTAATAAGCCTAACAATTATCATTTGTCAACTTTGCCTAATTGATTCAAGGAATTAAACCCTAGCACCTTGTAAAAGTAATTCAATAATCTTTTTTGGCCTAAAAAAACCCTGGCACCTTGTAAATTACTTTGCAAATCTTGCAAAAAATAAAAATAAAAAATAGGATTGAAGAAAACCTAGGGAATAGATACTTTGCAGAATTGAAACAACCGTGTTCCATCTTACACAACAATATTGCCTAATAATTGAAAAGAAACAATAGTTCATAGAAGAAAATCACATGGCATCCGAAAAAAAACGAGAAGACAAGATCAAAAGAAAAAGCAAGCAATTAAAAGGATTGAATATCAAAAGAATGAAAATCTTACTCAGCGGCGTTGGGTTGCTACGATTTGAAGCTGTCCGGCGACGCGGCGGACCTAGGGCTCTGTCTTGAGTAAAAAAGTCGAGGAAGAATACTAATGGAGAAAGAGTATTTATAGTCAGGAATAAAATACTCCCTCCGTCCCGTAATATTTGTCCACTTTTGACTTTTGTAACAGTTCATCTAAGCACTTTGACTCATCAAATTCTCTCGATGTGTAAGCCTAAATATAGTCATGCACTACAAAAAATATGACTTTTTGTGGCTAACTTTTAGTAGCAAAGTTAATATTTGCCACAATATATAAATGGTGTATAAATTTTTGTAGCAATTCAAAATTTGCCACAAAATAGGTTATTTTTTGTAGCAATTTTTTAAATTTGCCACTATATCTATATTAGTGTGGAGGGAAAATATTAAAGGGAATATTTAGGGAAGTTAATTTGCCAATCCGGCCCAACCCAAATAGCCAGTAGTCTCTCGCTCAATTCCTGCATAATTTCGATCTGCTGTAAATGACTCCCAAAGCGATCTTCAAAAGCGAGAGACAACATCGAGAAACGAGAAACCCACTTTGGTCGGTGATTTGTTTCCCTCTACAAATGAAACTCTTTCTCCTATCTCCCTAAAGCTCTCTTTCCTTCTTCGCACGTTCATGGAGTGAGTTTAATAACCGACACAGCTCGCCTCTCCGATCTCCAGGTGATCATTTTTCCTTTTTTTTTCTGAGAAAAAGTGCATCAATTTCTATCGATTTGGCTGCGATTTTATGATATAGTTCGTGAGTTCACTATATATTCATGCCTGACATATGTTCGATAAAATTTCTCAAACAGCATAAAATTCCTTTTTTAGTACTATTGAGTGCAGGTGTTACAAGTCTGATGGTGTTAGAAGTTGGATTGAATTCTCATTTTCTCAACAATAGATATAAATTTTACCTTTAAATATAATTAAAAGTAAGTTTGATTTTATATTTAATCCATATGTTTCATGTTTTTTATGTTTTTATGTTGAATCAAGTATTTTTAGATTCCTAGGTGATTGGACAATGGGGAAAAAATGTCTCATAGCCCTCTAAAAATTCTGCTCTGGTAACCTACAATAGTACAATCGAATAATCTTTTGCTAGATAGCATGTCATTAGCTTATAAAAATTATGAAATAGAATATGGGTGGGGTGTTTAGCTACTTACCATCTCTGGCTATATATGTTTTTTGTTTTTTTTTGGTTTATTTTATTTTTTTCTGATGTCAATTATAAAGGTATATTATTGAAAAGAAGGAAATGAAAGTAGAGTAAATATTCCTCGTCCCTACCTTTCACATTAGCACTAGGTAAATGCCCATAAGATTTTCAAGATGAGGCCACAAGTAAATGCCCATAAGGCATGTAAACCAGCTTTAAAAGGACAGGAAAGTGTGATTATAACTACAAATGATTGCACTAAGATTCACTCTAGAAGAACACCTTCCTTCTTGACTATATTTTGCATGCTAATTCGTGGTCGTACTCTTTAAGAAAATTACTAATGATCCAGGCTAAAGAACACTCTTTTAACTTGGGATGCTCACAAAACAAAAAGAACCCAAAAACACGAGCAAACTTGAGAACCAATATAGCAAGTTAACTGACCTTCTTTGAGAAACTCATTCTGCTTCCGCGTCTTCAGTTTTACTTCCTTCAGTCTGTATTTCAGGAAGAGTTTCTAGATCCATTCTAATATCTTTCTCTTCCAAGGAAATGGATGTATCAGATTGATCAATCAAATCTTGTCCAATTTCATCTAGAGTTTCAATTCTAGAAACCTTGACTTCAACATATGTGGCATTATCGGAGGCAGGTGTGATAGTTGTGACACTCGAGGAATTTACTGAAATTGAGTAAAAATTCTTAGTTTCTATGGAAGTTGTATTTGAATCAGATAGAGTTTTCTCAACAATCTGCACAGTGGCGTTCACCTGCTGCATAAAAGTGACTGGAAAGGAGTCTTCCCCATCAGCAGTGATATTACCCTCAATGGTAAAATTTATATTTGATTCTGTCAAATTCGGAAAGGATACTCTGGCTTCAAGATGGCTGTCCACTAGACTCGTTTGGTTCAAGAATGAGGTATTTTTAGGATAGGATGAGACATGCTCCAGGATACTTTCATCACGGCCTGTTGTAATTAAGGAATGATTTCTCTCATGATTATCCGAGGCTAACTGTGTGATGTTCTGATTAGATCTTATTACCTCGTGATCTGAATCCTCTAAGGCGATGTTTCCATTTTCAGCAAGTATAGTCTGTGTATCATGGGTGACGGCACTTGAAGCATCATCTCCTTTATAAAGTGCTTCATGTGTACTCATGTTGTTTTCTTCATCAAGCTCGTGATCATTGTTCTCTCCAGAACCTTTAATCTCAGTTCCATCAGCCTCTCCTCCCTCCTTCTCATCATCAACTAGTTCATCTTCTTGTTCCTCAGATTTCTCTTGACCGTGTTCATCAACAGAATCATCTCCACCTCCCCTATCTTCATCATTTTCATCTTCAAACTTGTTGTCTTGATCTTGCTCCCCTTCTTCACTCTTAGTGTCTTCATCTTCTTCTTGGCTGTTATTATCTTGTTTGGCATTAGTTATACTTATTTCCTTTGAATGTGGAAGGAGAGTTTTCCTTCCCCACTTGGTAGGCTCATAGATGTTTGCTGCCTTCATCAAAAACCCTGGATCATTTTCATTGAATTCTTTTCCTTTATCATAGGAGCGTTTGGCTTGATAAATCAGCCAGAAGCAAACAGCAAGCAATAGACAGATTTGCAGAACATGTTTGGTCTTCATCCCTTTTGATCTATGGCTCCTGCTTGTAGGTGAATGCTTGAACATGATGAGAGATGATTATACTTCTGTGTTCGTCCTCTTTTTCTTTTGACTAGTGTTAGAAATCTCCAAATCAGTATACTGTCTCCGGAAATGAGTAGAGTGACAGCAATGAATTAAAGAAGAAAATTACAGAAAACACTGTGACTCAGGGAGTTATATGCGTCGTCTTCTTCTTCCGTCTTCTTTTTTGTCTTCTCTGCGACACATTTTTTTGGTTCAGACCTGGCTAAATATTTTTAGCTTATAAAAATTATGAAATAGAATTTGGTTTAGTTTTACTATATATCATGGAATTTGGGGTGGGCATTCTTATAGTGAGCTTTATAACTAACTTTGGAGCTTCAAAACTTTGATTTTGGATATCAAACTTCTCAATGAATAATTATTTACTTCCATGATGTGGTTATGAATGTTTTGTAATCTGGAATGTTTCTCAACCTATTAATGGCAAATGCTGGTTTGCTGTTTGATGGGAGTTCATCATCCATCTTAAAGGTTTTCAAATTTTCAAAACATAGTCTTGATTGATTTTCGTGGTTGGTTAATTGGTTGTTATTAATTATTTGTGTTGTTGTCAAAGAGTTATTCTTTTGTCAAGGGTCCACTACCTTGGCAACCTACAGATTCCAATGTCATTCAAGGTAGAGAAATCAGAACACATTAGCCAAGTAATCTGGCTCAGCCGCGTTCCTCGAAGAGATGTAGATCAGAAGAGGTTCATAATTTGTCTGAAAAGGTTTAATTTTTCTTAAGTTTCTATTTAATTTTTGGATTTTTAAATATGTGATATCTAAATTACAAGTAATTAGCCCCTTTGCACAGAGAAGGAGTCGGACTAATGAGAAACTGAAAGCATTACGGACCTTGATTTCAAATTCTAACAAAGTATATATTTTCAGGCTCAATTCTTTTTTTAATTAAATTTCCCCATCTCCAAATGTTCTTACTTATCTTCTTCTAATTCTTATTTTGAATTGGTCAGTTTTGTATGATATTGAGACAAGATAACAATGCTTGACGAAGCTATTGAATATTTGAAGCATCTTCAATTATAGGTGCAGGTATTATTAGTACTGTTACTTTGGCTGTATCATTCATTATTCATTACCATCGTTATTATAGAAAGTGTTTGCTTATTATAATAGCTAAAAAAGTTCACGGCCTTTCTGGTACTAGTTGGACTTTTGATATTTGCTTGTTATTGCTGGTCCAGATTCTACTCATCATGGACAATATGCCTAAGCTCATAATGAATGTTGATTGATGAAGCTTCATCTTTTCTCTAGCACGGGTAAGGAAATTATCCAAAACATTGATCTTGTTTTTGTTGGTCTCCAAGTAAAAATTTTGAATTGTGATTTTCTATTTTTCACAGATATTTAGATTTAATGAGAGGATATATGTTGTTGAGATTAAGAAAGGGGATTTGAACCTGAACAGTTTGAGTTTTGTTTCTTTATAACTTAACAGGGGTGGCCCGTTATAACCATCTCACGCTAGTGTTGTCTCACCCGTGTCATTATTAAGTCTAAGTAGACCATCTATCAGGGGTGGCCTTTTTTCCGCACTACTTGTCATGCAAAATATGTTTGATTAGTTTGATGTCAATCCATTTGAAGTAACTGCCTGTTTCATTTCTGTAAAAGTTCTTTGTCTGTCTAGCTATTTCAGGGGTGGAAGAATCAGCAACAGCATCAGTTTTTAACGAAACCTGAGGAGGAGTATTTTCTGGATCCAAATGTTTAGTTAAGGAACCAAATTGGTTAATAGTTGGAGAGGTTGTGGCAGCACAAATATCTTCATCCTTAACAGGCATGGTAATGTGTTTTCCCTCTAAGCCCTCAATATCTTTAATATATATTGTCCATATGGGAGGGTGTGTCACAGTAGGTACAGTAGGTATAATGTCATTGGTAGGGACAATTGTAACTTCTCTACACTCTTTAGGGGGTCCAAACACTACATAATTTCAAGAATGGTTTCAATATGTGCTCTAGGGCTGGACACGGTACCGGTACGGTACCGTTACCGGCAACGGTACTGCCGGTACCATCTACCGTCACCGTCGCACGGCACGTCCCACCGGTGCCGGGATCCGGTACCGGAACCGCCCCAACCGGTACCGGTACCCAAATTTTCGTCTCGGAACCGCCGGTACTGGTACCGTTACTTTATTTTTTTTTTCCTGCACCTGTAATAGATCTGCCAACCACTTGTCCACCTGCAAAAAAAAAGAAGGGAAACATTAAAGGGAAGGGGGGAAGNACCATCTACCGTCACCGTCGCACGGCACGTCCCACCGGTGCCGGGATCCGGTACCGGAACCGCCCCAACCGGTACCGGTACCCAAATTTTCGTCTCGGAACCGCCGGTACTGGTACCGTTACTTTATTTTTTTTTTCCTGCACCTGTAATAGATCTGCCAACCACTTGTCCACCTGCAAAAAAAAAGAAGGGAAACATTAAAGGGAAGGGGGGAAGTCGGGGAACTAGTCTTCAACGGGAGGAACAAGTGGCTGCAACAAAAAATTACGGAGTATTAAACAGATCGGCAATTCGGATTGCTTTAAACAGATCGGCACACAGAGGGATTAATCTTCAACAGATCTGCACACTTCAAAAATATTAAAAAAAGCAAAAAAAAAAAGGTGGGGGAAGGCAAAACCGGCCGGTCCGGTACCGGAACCGCCGGTCCGGGAACCGGAACCGCCGGTCCGGGAACTGGAACCGGTACCGGTCGGTCCGGTCACGGTACCCGTGCCATGGGGTGGTGGTACCGGAACCGGCGGTTCTGGAACCGGAACCGTCCCGGAACCGTACCGTGTCCACCCCTAATGTGCTCTAGTTGCTTTATACGCTATTTAATTTGAAGAATGAAATCAATACGTGCTCTGGTTGCTATGGTCATTTTAAACACTATTTAATTTGTTTCATTTACAATATTATTTCTTTATTAATTTAATTTTTTTAATTTGCATATCAAAGGTCAATAAGAGTTACCATTCAGTTTCTACTTTGGGTGGAATTACAATATATGTGATCTTGTTTGATTTGTTTTAACATATAGATTATTAATATATAATTTCTATAATCTTTTAATATACAAATTACAAGATAAAATGGATTAAAGAAGTGTATTGGATGATGTGTAAAAATAAAAGTGGACAAATACTGTGGGACGAAGGTAGAATCTTCATATATGAATGATTATATTAAATCAATGGGTTTAATATTATTTTGAATACCTCTAGATTTTTATAGATTTTAAAAAGTTACAATTGAATACACCTAAACTTTCAAATTCCACTGATTTCTAATTAAATGAATAAGAATCCTTATACAATACACCCCCTTAGTTTGTATTTTTGTCGTTTGATTATAAATCATGAATTAACATTTTTTAATTTAGGCATTTCTGTTCTTTTGATTATAGTACATCCATTTTAATTGCTTAATTTTACTATTTATTTTTCATTTGAGTTCATAATTTGACAATTATATTGCATAATAATTTTTTAATTTCAATCACAACTGAAATTATAATACTCCCTCCGTCCTACATAAATCTTTCCATTAGCCCTTTTTATTTGTCCATCATAGATCTTCTCATTACCTTTTTTAATAATTAGAATACCACAACTACCCCCACTTACTTTATATATTACACCTCACCCATCTCATTTAATACACTCCATCCATTTTCATTAAGGGTATTATGGTAAATTTTCACCTTTTTTCAACTCTCCTTAAAAACCACAAAAAATCAAAATGAGAAGATCTTAGGTGGACGGAGGAAGTAATTATTTAGTTGTATGATAATTATTATTTCATTCTATAAATATACAGATCATAATCTTAGAAAGATAACGAATAAGTAAAAGAAGTACTGCATCAAGTAATTGTCACATAATGATAGATAGTAGGGGTTGTGTTAGAGCAGTGGCAATACTCCTAACGCGCAGCGGCGTTAGGGAGCATTTGAACCATGTGGGCGTTAAACACCGCCCCCCTCCTCCCTTATACCCGTGTTAAAATTTCTACGTCATATGTTTGACGCATTGTGAAGGCATTTTGATGCCTTCTTTTTCTTCCCCCCCCCCCTCTTATTTCCTCTCTTCTTCTCTATAAATTAAATTAAATTTAACATAAATACAAATTTTTCTCTATCTATCATCTTTTTTTAAAAAATTAGCATCCTCATGGCTTCAAGGAAAGATAAAGTGATAAGCATGAACCTATTAAACTGCAGGCAGTAGCAAACATAAACATAATAGAAAAATCAGAGTGATGTTATTGTTGTTAAGCCACAATGTTAAGCCAAAATTTCTGTACAGGGACTGGGGTTGCAAACAACATCACTCTGATCTCCTGTTATGTTTATGTTTGATGATACATGCAGTTTAATAGGTTCATGCTTATCACTTTATCTTTCCTTCCTTACACAAGCCATGAGGATGATTACCAGCGTAATCAACCTAGCTAGGAAGACGATACAACGCAGCCTATACATCCACATTTTGCCGTTGAGGATTCCGACATGGAAGCTAGAATCCAACGACAAGTTTACATGCGCGTTGTGTTCTCATACAACAACGACAACAATCCAACCTTCTCGAGCAGTGCCAATGAGAAGAGCATTCATGTCATCCTCGGTATGGTATTGTTAGCATTCATCGTCATCGTACACGAATAACGACGACTGCACAATGACAATGACGCTAATAGTGAGACAGTACCTTGCAACACAGTAAAATGAAAGTGAGACAAAACCTTGCAACCCAGGTTCCTTGAAGCGCAGCTATAAATTTTGAAAGGTCTCTACAATCGCTTACTGCGTGTTCCGATATCTCCAAGACCTCTACTATGAGTCCGACTAACTCTTGAAAATCTCGTTGGATGAGTTCTAGGATTGAGCTTTTATTTGAAACTGTTAAGAAGTTTCCAAACTTTTCCATGTTGGAAGGTGTGATGAAGATGTCATCCCGGAGGTTTGAATGCGTGATGCTTTGTAAGTATAAAAACAAAGACTATAGTAGATTTGCCTAAAGAATTAAAATAAAATACATTTAAATAATGTAAATCTAAGGTATCAAATTCAATGAAGAGAAGAAGAAGATCTTATGAAACCACGTAGATCTTCTCGAAATTGTGAAAACTAATGAGTGAATGTTGTTGGACTTGGTTGATTTTTTTGAAAAGTACTCAAAAAAGGAAGAGGTAAGAGCCTCAACACCCAAAACATTTCTCTTAGCATCTTGAAAATATACACTAAGAAGGTATGGAGAGGCTCGAGAGAAACTCGGGTCTTTAGAAAAGTGTTTGGGCATGCTAAAAATAGAAATGAAAAGACATTTCTCGTCAGAATCATATGAGAAAATGTGCCACTCTTCATGGGATTCGGAGCCGAAACCTTCAAAGTGACAATGTGGTTGTACAAACTTATATTAGGTTTCGTGATAGCGTTGGAAAATGCCTCGACCATCTTGTGGTATATAGCCTGCACAATCAAATATAGCCAAGTCAAAACCACTCTTAGATTCATCTCATGGTATGTAGCACACATTCATTTTTGTTTGAGTTTGCTTCATCTTTGTACCCTCGATGGTTCGTGCTTAGTCACTGTATTCAATGTAGTTCGGTGTTCAAGATTATCATGTTTTGCTCCTTCCAAGCAGTACGTTATGATATCGTAACTTCACGTTCTTGGCGCATTCTTAGAGGTTCGCCCCCAAGTTTCAGGTGGCATTCAATTCTGTAACACAAGATTAATGGTAACATATTCGACATTAAGTGCACTCATCGATCTCAGAGTGGGTTCACCCTTCGCGAGTTGTAACCTAAAAAAAAATCTTCAACGGCATAGTCGAGATTAAACGGATTCGTTCTTGATTCATTAAAGTTATTTTTCTTGCAATTCTTTGATCATACTAATTAGAGTACGTGGGGCGTTCTATTGACGTCAGCACTATCAATATCAGCGTCACTAATACTTGCTAACTAGACTGTAATGGTCAGGCCCTTCAACGGTGCGACCTCTAATGGCCAGTCCACATTTCCACGTGTCAATATCGTAACTTCTTTCGAGTCCGCTTCATTTGTCTCATCTTGTCAATCAAGGTATGTCGGCACATAACATCTTTCAAGATAAACTATTCACCCAGTTCTTTTGATTTGAATCCAGACACAACACCACACTATGATGTGCTAAAAGTAAGTATTATTTCCATTTAGTAACCAAACGATTCTTCTTACCCTTTATACAGTCATTCTCGTTTGATGCCAAAATAAGACTCTCATTCATCCAAGTATGCAGCCTCTTCAGAATTTGGTTATCCATTCCAATGATCAATGAGATAACTGAATATTGGACAAGATATTTCACTGTGTGTACATTGTTACACTCGTTTCTTTTGTAACATATCATCTCACTGTGAGAGTTTATGCTAACATTCACCCTATAGTCAGTAGGTTCCATCTACAAGATGTGAATTCCTATCTTAGATTATAGTATTTCAGCATGCACAATAATCATCAATTCAGTCGAATATTTAAGCAAGATATTTAACAAGATATTTAACAAGATATTCCAACATCAACTTAACAAGATATTTAAGCAATCAACTCAACACAAACAATTCGAATAACCAACTTCATACAAATATTTGAGCAATAAGCTCGACTCAGCTAAATAAGCAATCAATTCAGTTCAAGCAACCATAGCAAAAAGCTCCAAACATTTAAGCAATAAGATAATAATTTATTACCTTCCGGGAGGCAGTGATGACGTGGAGGATGCGAATGCAGGAGTACTTTTGCCATTGTTATTATTATCAAAATAATTCTATTTCCACTTATTCCTTTCCAAAATAGTACTTATAATGGTCAGAAGAATGATTTTAAAACCATATTCTCTGATACCAAGATGTAACACCCCAACCCGCATAACTTGAACCAACAGGTTAGCGAACCAGGTTGCTACCAAATTGATATTCACATACAATATTTTCCAAAATAAATTAAAAACATTTAATTTAAAACTCAAACAATTTAAATACATATCAGAGTTTATACAAACAGTGCGGAAGCTTTATACTTAAATCAAACATTAAAATCCTGCATCCGTACATCTCCTCCGTTATGCTACTCTTCGAGATGGATTCCCGAATAAATCTTCCACAACCACCTCCATGTAACAAAGGGAAAAAAGGTCTACATGCTCAACAATGAAGCTGAGTGAGAAATATCTAACAATTCGAACATACACTTAGGGTCTTAGGCGAATCCACTGATTCATAACTATCACATGATATCATGCACACAACATGTTGGGCAACAATCCTACGACATACAAGATATAACATGCATAGTCAACATTTATTTTCGCACATCATGCATACAGGTATAGTAATATTTAATATTCAAAACGTCTTACGATATTCATATTCACCTATCCAATCACATCTCTTAACCTATGATAGCTAAGTTAACGTGTAAATAGTTTACCTGAAGACGAACCACAGCACTCTTTGCTTTCTCCTTAAATTCAGGATCAGTGTCGAACTTCTCTTTAGAGTTTTTGTAGAACACCTAGACAATGCATCAATTAAGTTAGAATTCTAAAAATGTATCACTGCATCTATCCGTCTGGTGGGAAAGCACAATGATGAAGAAAATTTTGACCTCAATAATAGTCATTGACTTTTAAAATTAAGGAGCTCTCTCACCTGTAGATCTCTGATGGCTTTCTCATTAACATCTTCAAAATTTGGAAACTTCTCAAAGAGGAATTCGATCAACATGCCAAACTGCAAAGCAAATGTATTCATGCAAGTTGTTGCTCATGAAGAAATGATGAACCAAGTCACATCATACATAGAGAACATATATACCATATTTAACAAAGAAAA